GAAACAAAGTGCAAAAGTATGAAACATTTACCTACAATTTAGAGCCCTAATTGCTGTAGGAAAGAAACTATTCCTGAATCTAGCCTTAGTGGCTTTCGATGAACGAAAACGTCGACCACTGCGCATCAATTGGAATAGGTTTGAGGCAGGATGAGTTTGGTCGCCCATAATAGTCTCTGCCTTTTTAAGAAGCCGATCATGGAAAATGGTTTCCAGAGGCATTTGTTCCAAACCAATGATATGCGTTGCAGTCCTGACGATTCTGTTAAGGGCATATAAGTCGTTTTCGGTAGCGCCCCCCGAACCAGACGGTTATAGATAATGTTAAAATGCTTTCAATTACTGCTCTATAAAAAGACATCAAAATAGTCGGATGCATTCCAAAAGATTTAAGCCTACGCAAAAAATAAATTCTTTTCTGTGCAGAGTTTTTTTATTCCTTGTTTCGCGTACTTATTTTTTTAAAGATTATCGGAGGAGGGCGGAATAAAAATAAAAATAAAATTTTGATTACTTATTTAGCAAATAGTTTTGCCAAAATCATCCAAGCGGAGGAAAAAATAAAAATAAAATTTTATTGGTGAATGTAAAATAGGATAATGCTTCAATTTTATATAATTATGAAGAAATATACATATACATTGGTGATTTCAAGGCAGCCGAGGGTGTAATAAAAAAAAAAGATAAACTTTAATTTTTTTCTGAAATTTCCTATTTTCTAATTTTGTTCTGAAAGGAGTAAGGACAGTAAATTCTGGCCGGGATAGCTTTACAGCAGTCTAATTCACGTTTTTTAATCTGCATAATACAACCGATTGTCTTCTTGCACTTTACTATAATTATCATTACATGCAAAGGGTAATTCGTAAAAAAAAAAGAAACGGAAACCCACACGCGATGCGTAGGCATACTCATTAATGTATTGTTCGAAATTAAGTGGCATGATTAGCACATTCAGACAGAGAGGGCGCAGTGTTACTTTTTGGTTAATAGCGGTTCTGTTAGACGTCTAGGCGTTTACCTCCTGCTTCACGGTAATCAACAATAAGACATTATCAAGTTTTAGAGCACATGATAATCAATTAAAATAACTTTATGTTGCCCAAACCCGACCGAGATTAACTTGGGTCTACCTGGACAATTTGAAACCGTTTTCGTTATCCAACCATCTGTCGCTCTGCAATAGGCCTAAATACATTAAATCAAACATCTAAACAATCAAACTAAAAGAATTACAAGACTCATGTGTTTCTGTTGTTAATAATATTCAATAATAAAAAAAAAAGATAAACTTTAATTTTTTTCTGAAATTTCCACCTTTTCGTGGAGGCCTGTGCGCTCATTGGCCAAAAATAAAATTTTATTTTTATCCCAAATCATCAATATTTGCAGTCGGCGGGTTCGCTAAACAAGGTATAAAAAAAGTCTAGCCTAATGGTGGATTTAAGCAAAATATAGAGAAGTGAAAGAGTTCTCTCCACATAATAACATGTTGGGCCCGTAATGTACATGCTGCAATCTCGTAGTAAAATATAGAAGTGTACTGTATCTGTAAGTGTAAAAGTGAAATAGACGTGCGCCCTCTGCAGCGTGGCAAGAAGCATTTGCACTAAGTTCAGTAGTAAAATTCAATACCACCAGATTGCAGCATGCGCCAAGCTCCCACACCTGTAAATCAGTCATTATGCAAGTCTATGGACAAACTGAGAACAGTGGACTCTTTTGTTTCTGAACACTTTCAATTAGTTCTTCTTGAAAAAGCTGAGCAAGGATTTCTGTGTGGTACCCTGCGATGACTGGTCACCTTTGCCCTTCTTCCCTTTGCCTTTTTTGCCTTCATTTTCTGTATCATCCGGGACGGATTTCTTAAGGGGCCGTACTTCTTTCATTGGTGGCTTCTCCTCGTCAACTACCTCGGTGTCCTCATATTCATAGTATTTTTCAGTTACTGTAAGAAAATTTAATAGAATTTAATAGTTCAATCTACAGTATTGACAACTGCTTATATTGAATGGATAAGATTTTTGTTGAAACACCGTTTGGATAACCCACAAAATTCCATAGATAGAAATATTTCCAGTAGGATCGTTCTTGTTCTGGAAATGCACAGTGCACTGGAATCGTCTGCTCTTTTCTGAAGAGCATACAGCAATCTCTAATGTGCACATGTGCCATCAAAAAGAGGACCAACGGCTTAGTGTCATCCAAAAGACGGTTCGCTGTCCTACCAACCAAACCCTGAGCAAATGAATGTCTTGAGCAAACAAGTGCTGATGTGAAGGCTGAAGCTAACCCTGAGCAAATGAATGTCTTGAACAAACAATGCTGATGTGAAGGCTAAAGCTAGTGGCGCCTCTGTCTAGACTCACCAAAAAAGCTGCTCTCTTCGTTAAGAATCTGATATGCATTTTGGCATAATTGATCAAAGTACAGTCCAACTTGCCTAAGTCGACTTTGCCTAACTCGAATAATTTCTAAGTCGAACTTATTTTACATGCCAAATTGTTGTTTTCCATGAATTAACAATCTGCAAGTCGAATTTTATCCAAGTCGAACAATTTTTCAATGGCATTCTGGATTCGACTTATTAGGCAAGTTCAACTGTATCCACTATCAATGTTCTTTCAAATTAGCATTTTGTTATTCATTATATTACTTTTTTTCTTTCATTTTGATTTGCAATCCAATAATACAATGAACAAGTTTGTACATAATACGATAATTAATCACAGGTGGCCTAAATTGCTCTATCAATCTGGTTTACACTGCACCATCCCTGGTAGTTTACACTGCCTCTTCACTGCTGTCCTACCAAGGAAGTCATTGGTCCTACCCTGTCAGAATAGCCTGCCCAATCAGTGCTAGACTAAACTGACCTGTCACTGTTGCACTGCTTTTATACACATCGGTACAAGTGTTTGTCACACATAATTTTAAAGATATTTTACAAGGTTAATTTCTGGAAGTATGTGGCACAGCGTTATGGTGTTGGGCTTTCAATCGAAAGGTCGTGGGTTCGAGATCGATGCTCTTGTCCTAGAGCAAGACACTTCATCTCCGTTGGCCTTTCTTAACTCAGAATGTATAAATGGTACCTCGTAGGAAATGGATATGTGCACTATATAAATCCTATAAAATAAATAATAACTGCATACCCATAAATCCCTCTTCATCTTCTACTTGTCTTGTTTTAAAGACTTTAATCCGCTTTATATGAGTACCAGTTTCAACTTCACCACCGCCTTCATTTGGTTCTCCACAATCCATTTCATCTTCTGCATCATTGTCAACTGGTTTTTGTGGAGGAGTTGGATATACAATGGAGGTATAATTTGAGGTTACATTACTAAAATTAACACATGACATAAAAGTGCAGTACAGTAAGTCTATTTAAATAAATTTACAACAACGATACTAGTTTCAATATCAGCTACATTATTTAGTAATTTACAATTGCCATCTGATGATCTGCATACAAGTAAAAATGATGACTTACATAATACAGGCTAATCTTAATGTTGGTGACTGCAATGATCTACATGCTGGTGAATGTAATAATTTTAATGTAGGTGACTGTGATTATTTGCATGCAGGTGAATGTAATGATTTTAATGTTTCTTGTCTTTGCAATCATTTGCATTCTAATGAATGTAAAGATTTGCATGCAGATAAATGTAAGGATTTTCAAGCAAGTAAATGTAATGATTTGCATGCAAGTAAATGTGCTGGTTTTAATATAATTTATTGTAATGATTTGCATGCAGATGAATGTAACTTTTCATGAAGGTGAATATAATGCTTTATTATTAGTGATTGTGATGACTTGCATCCAAGTGAATGTAACAATTTGCAGGCAGATAAAATTATACGCAGATTAATTTAATGATTTTAAATGCAAGTGATTGTAACAATTTGCAAGTAGATGAATGTGATGACTGTAAAAAGAGGAATATAATGATCTGCATTATGAGCATGCAAATGAATGTGGCATTTTACATGTAGTGTACACAAGAAAGTGACATTTTGCATGTAGGTAAATTTCAACATTGTCATGCATGTGAATGCGATGATTGCATGCATGATTGTGACAGTTGTATGCAGGTAACATAAAGCTTTGCATATAGGTGACTGTAATTATCCCATGCAGGTTGGTAATGATTTGCATGTAGATGAATGTGATGATTTGCATAAATGTAATGCTTTGCATGCAGGGGAACATAATGATTTGCATGTAGTTGAATACATGAAAAAGGTACAGTGTATGTAATGATTTACAAGCAGATAAGCATAATTGATTTTTGTGTATTTGTCTGTAATGATTTACATACAGATAAACATTATAATTATCATGCAGATGCAGATGTAGATATAGATGAACATATTGATTTGCATGCAGATGAATGTAGCAATTTGCATGCAAGTAAATTTACATGCAGGTGATTATGACAATTTGCATTTAGGTGCAAAACTTGCTCACCTTCTTCATCCTCATCGCTGCTGCTCTCTGCCATCATTATTCTTCGTCGTTGCTTTTTCTTTGGATTTGATTCTATACACAACAATAAATCACAGAATAATAAGTGTGCATGTATTGCAGTTAAATTGGTATATCATTTAATTTATTCAATAACTCTACTTTTTCTTTTTAAAATAATACTATTACAATCAACTTGATCTTCATATAATCTTTATAACAATATAGGAATTTATACAGTGCATTTTACAAAAGTGCAGACAATGTTATTACTACTGCTGGTCATGGATACATACTGTATATTAGTGACCTCAGGCTACAGGTATGTCCATACACGGCAGTTAAATAATAACAGGATCAAGATTACAAGCATACACGCTCACCCGTGCATTCATACAAGGAAATCCCTGATCCAGATTATCAAGAAGATGATGATCGGATCACTGGCCAAAAGGAAATCGGAAGTTGGAAATGCGTACGTGTGATTGGAAAAGCGCTCAGCTTGCTAACCGATAGCACTCGCTAACTGTTAGCGCATCCAGATCTTGATAATGCTAACTGATTGGGCATTCTCACACGGGTGTTAACAGTTAGTGCTAACGGTCACCTCCAAATTCAGATACTAGTGCTCTGGTGTGAACCTGACCTTGGGAAGTTGAGAAAGTGCAGCTCCCTGTAGAGTATACTTTTTCATGCTGCTTCGTGCATGAACTAATGCATTTAATGCACATCATACCAGTATCTATTTATATTCCTGGGTTGAGAGAGAAACATGTATGTTGTGCCTTGTCCGCAGGCACAAGGAAAATTTACAGCAGGTGGTTGACATCAATATTGAAAAACATAACCGCAAACACCGCACAAACTGCTCCCTTACTGTTCAAAATCATATGAAAATTAACTTGTTCTGCCTACCTTCTTCATCAGAATCAGATACAACAATCCTTTTAGTTTTCTTTTGTATTTTAGTTTCTTTGTTATCTGCGTTCTTATTGGTCGATTTGCTATTATTTGATTCTTCCTTCATCGTCTTCTTTTCTTCTTTTTCTAATACATTTACTTTTTGGGAAGATTCTTTATTTTCTTGCTTTTCTTCTTCTGTTGTTTTTTTTGGTACAGTTGACATGAATGCAAGCATTCCTTTTTTTGATTTGTTTTCCTAAACAAAAATTGAAATAATATTAACAGTGGAGTGGCTCTAAAGAGAGCACTTGTTTGATTATCTGTGGTAATTTTAAACATAAATGAGACTAGCCAACTCAACACCAAAAAATGAAAATTAAAAATATATTCTATGATGGGTCATTTACTGTAATTGACTTACACTGTACTATTGTCAAAATTACAAGTAAAAATATCATGGCTTCTCTGGATTAAGTATACAATCCTGCCCCATTCTAAATGCTATTTTAACAATCAACCACAGTACGGTGGTTTTTGGAAGGCAAGTCTAAAATCAGGTAGTTATTAGCTTATGTTTTACAAAACCTAATGAGCAATGAGAAAACATCAATGTTCTGACCTGAAATAGATCAGTATTGCAAACCTGTAAACAAAACTAATGTCAACACCAAGAATACACAAACATGAGATCATGTTTAGTTAAGTACTTAGGTATAGTGAAAGCATGTCAGCTTTTAAGCACAAAGTCCTTAAAATCACATAAAGTTTGAGCTGGAAATCACAACAAATAATTAAGTATCCCAAGTTGAAAGAAGTCATTTGTGAGGGATCTGTTAAAACATGATTTCAGTACCCTATGTAATTTCAATTTTGTTTTGCATAGAATCTTTAGTTAGAATTCCTTTTTTTTCTTATTTTATTTTAGCGCATTGAGACTTCGGTGTAATGCGCTATAGTAAATCCCACTACATACATTACATTACATATACTTTCTGAATATGGTGCCATTCAACACTGACGTGAGAAAATGGTAATAAAGGGGTATTACAGTAATAAAAACATGCAGATTTAATTAATTTGCTGGAGATTATTTTCAGAGAGATTCTTGCCCGGTTGCGGGGGTGTAGGAGGCCTGCAATTTATGGGAGACTTGGGACCCCTGCATAATCGTTAGGTAATTGAAGTTTAAATTTGAAAAAAACCAACTTGGAATGTAAATCCTATACTGATTTTACATTTTGGTGGTATCTTCTTAGACATTTTTGTCGAATTTTTAATAAATAAATAATCAAGTAATGGACAAATTTTATGTATATTTTTAATTGTAAATATACATTCTGGTCACAATAAACAATTTATCTTTGGTGACTTTTTAAAAAATATTTACGAAAATATTTGTATATTCACTATTTGTCTAATATATCTTATGTTTTTAGCTCAAAAATATCATGTCATATGTTTCAAATAATCAATAATTGTTGGTTTTGGTGTGGTAATTATTTATTTATTATTTGAAACATATGACATGATATTTTTGAGCTAAAAACATAAGATATATTAGACAAATAGTGAATATACAAATATTTTCGTAAATATTTTTAAAAAAGTCACCAAAGATCAATTGTTTATTGTGACCAGAATGTATATTTACAATTAAAAATATACATAAAATTTGTCCATTACTTGATTATTTATTTATTAAAAATTCGACAATAATGTCTAAAAAGATACCACCAAAATGTAAAATCAGTATAGGATTTACATTCCAAGTTGGTTTTTTTCAAATTTAAACTTCAATTACCTAACGATTATGCTGGGGTCCCAAGTCTCCCATAAATTGCAGGCCTCCTGCACCCCCGCAACCGGGCAAGAATCTCTCGGAAAATAATCTCCAGCAAATTAATTAAATCTGCATGTTTTTATTACTGTATTACCCCTTTATTACCATTTTCTCGCGTCAGTGTTGAATGGCACCATATTCAGTAAGTATATAAGTAGCAAAACAAAATTGAAATTAGATGGGTACTGAAATAATGTTTTAACAGATCCCTCAGAAATGACTTCTTTCAACTTGGGATACTTAATTATGTGTTGTGATTTCCAGCTCATCTGTCTCTTATACACATCTAGATGTGTATAAGAGACAGGTGTAGGCTACAGTATCTAGGCCTAGGCAGGCTTAGGCGCCATAAAGCCTGCCAGGACTTAGCTGGCTATCCCAGGCACAGATAAGAAAGAGACAAGTTTACACACATACAGTACTCACTCATATGATATTCCTTAATTTTGTATGGTATTCAAGCATCCTACAAAATGAACAATGTTTATTAATGTTTTATTAAATTATTTTCCTGTAGGCCTAATATCGATTCAAACACATTGATTGATGATGATTGAACATCGTGGTATGTCATATGGTGCGGAAAATTAGTTTCCCATTTGAACTTCTTAGTATACACTGCACAGTGGTTGCACATGTGCAATCACATGCAGTGATGATCAGAACCTCCTTGATTAGTATACTTACTGAGTAGGTTAGAACAGGCCTAGAATTTTTCGAGCTCAACATCGGAATTTAAGGTCAGAATATTGATTCAATAATTGAAATACATTCTTTTTTAAGTTTATACACGTTTAATAAAATCCACCAAAATAAATTGAAAATACAATTTTTATAATGATGAAGTTGTTTACTTTTCACAAACATGTTGAAATTTGTGGGGATTCACCTAATAGGCCTATGCCCTAGTGCGTTGTTGAAGAAAACATCTAAGGAGAGCAAAAAATAGTTCTAAAATTTACGCAGATATCGAAAAGGAATGGATACCACATTGGAAAAAAAATGTCTCATGTGATGTGAATTGAGAAGATTTTGGCTTGCTCTGCCGTTTTAATCATTTTACTATCTATGACTCTGAAATTGTGAGCATTCAATATAGTTGGTTCGGCTAGCTACCTCCGCCACCGAGTGTAGACGAATTTGAGCCAGTGTTGGTTTTTTTTTTCATTATTTATCATTTCTGAAATATCTATGTCATCACAAAGAGGGCTGGCAAAATAAAAATGAAATGAAAATAAAAGGTTCATAGTCATACACAAATTAATTTTAAAATGACGATCTGTTTTTCCTTTTCCGCGGTAAGAAAACCCGGAAGCCCAATGTACGGAACAAGAGTTTGGGCGATGTTTGTCGTCATCACCTTAGCACGTGGTGGAGAAGTTTCTATTATCTTATTGGCTAACATGTGATTTGGAGGCGTGGCTTCTTTGATGGACTCACCCAGGCGCGACTGCCGAACTTTGAACTTTAACTTTGTTTACGCCGCGAGTTCATGAAAGTCAAACATGGAGTCTCAAAATTGGTAGACTTTCAACAGAAAGGAACATCGAAATGAGTGCATACTATTGCAAATTAACGTCGTGTAGGTAAATAAGGTTCTTTACAGGCCTGTTTCGCTATTTATATTGGTGGTTTTTGTATTAATTTTTACAGCATTGATTGAAGTAGCCGGCGAAAACATCGTAGTAGCCGATCGAATGCGCCGGCCGCCGGCTCTTAAATAAACCCCTGAACGTATCTTACTACTAATATTAGCCCACAACAAACAAGAACAAAATGTTTTTTAAAACTCTACAAACAGATAAAATGTTAATGATTATGAAACGTTTTCTAACCGGTTTTGCCTTGTTTTCTGTGGCACTGTCTAATGAGCTGTCCTTCTCTGTTTTGGTGGTTTTCTCTGCTTCTGTATTCATTTCTTTTTCCGCATCTTTCTCTTTTTTAACTTTCATGGACGTAAACATATCCATTGCTGACCTCTGTCCCTTCTTTCGCTGGTCATTGGTTTTAGGAGCTGGTTTCGCAGCTTCTGCTTTCTGGAGAGATGGTAACGTGACTGAGCCATTGCTAGAGGATGTACTTGGCTTGCCGTTAACCTTTGCTGTTGATTGAGATTGGTTGGCATCAGGCAATCTTGCCTTTTCTTCTAACTCGGCTAATTCTGTCTCAGATCTTGCTTTTGCTTCAGCACACTCAATGGCACTAAATCTATCAAAGCAATGAAATAAACATAACATTCATTAATAGTACATGGATGTATTATAAAAAGCAAGCAAGTAGTGTTCATGTTTTTAAAAATCTTTTAAAAATTCATTTTTTTAAATTATTGCTTTAATTGATACTTTTATTGTCTTGTTGCCGATCTGATTAATGTGAATTTTAACTTGTGTGTGATGTTTCTTGCGAATTCCATAATTTCTCATAATTTTAACTTTCTCTTTTATATTGTAAATTTGTATTCTTGTCTATTTTATTGTAATGCGCATTTGAACATATTTTAATGGAATATGCACAATATAAATTAATAAATTATTATTATTTATTATTATTATCATAAAGCTGAAAACAACTGCTATTTGGTATTTAAATAATTACAATAAAAGTATAATACACGAATAACATCTAAATAAATGTCACTAAAAAGAAAAGTTAGTAAAGTTTGAAGGTTGTACCCTTGTATATCACATATAGCATTCATCTTTATGAACACTTTGCTACATAATTTAATAAAATGAATTTATGAAAGTTTTTCATGAAATACGAATGACAGGGGCGGATCCAGAGATGTCCAAAAAAAGGGGGGGCAAAATTTGGGCCGATCGAGACAACACTGTTCTAGGGGGTCCGGGGGAAATTTTTATGTTCTAGATGCCCGGAAATAACATTTGAGGCGTTCTATCAATTTTTTTCTTTTTCTTTCTTTTTTTTTTTACCTCCCAAAAGGAGGGGCCGGGCCGGTCCTCCCCCCACCCCAAGTTATTCATTTATACTTTTTAAACTTATTTTCTTTTATTGTTAAATGGTAAAATACTTTTTGTATTTATTTCACTTCTACAAATAAATATATATACGTAAAATACAACTACATTTAATTACCTCAATAATTAAACTTTCACCACGGAAATTGGAGGAAAATATAATCATGAATTATGAAATTATTTATATGCTTACCTACTACAAGCAGCTTGCTTTATCTGCTCCAGAGTCAGATCATAGTCTGCTGTGTACAGTGAATTGCTGTCTTTTAGTTGAGCCTTCTGAATGCTGTATATATGGACCCCTGACACACATTGAAGGCTAGCTTTATGCTCTAAAAAACAACCATAAACTCATGAAACATATTCACATTAGTTCATTGAACAAAGAAAACAAACAAAAAAGTATTACAGTGTACAGTATGGGTGTGGTCTATAACTACATAGCCAAAAAGATGATAATAATAAATGATAATAATGACGACGATGGTATGATGGTATGATAATTATAACATTGAGAACCAAGGTGTGGTATCAAATGCTCTTAATTATGTACAGTATCAAAACATCTGAACTTACTTTCAAGATTTTGAGCATTTACAATGGAAACTTTGCGAACCTACAAAAAAAAAAAAAACAAACTCAGTAATCAAGATTCATGACTAATAAAAAGCTTCTTAAAATATAATTTTTTTTGCATGTTTAACAAGGAAATAATAACAACCTTACATTAATTAAAAGTATTATATGCTAACCTTCTCTCCATTATCAATCGATTGCACTCCAGACACAAGGTATGTCACGTTTACTGAGTCAGCTTCTTTATCTTTTTGTTGATTGAAAAATGTATAAAGCATTCTATATAAAAACAAAGCACATATTTACAACAAAACAAAATCCTCAAAACAACTTTTATCACATAAGACCAAGTAAAAAAAATAAGTGGTTATACTTTAAGCAAAGGGCCCGTATGTATTTATTTTGGCCATAAAAGCAATTCATTTTAGATTAATTTGTTTTGAAATAAAGATAAAAAATTATTAAAACAATTGATAATATGATATTGAAGTTTTGCACCATTGTTAACAAATACAGCAGCAAAAGAAAAACTGGAAGATGAGAAACCAATTTATTTTCTAACTGGCCTAATTTACATGTGTACTTTGGTGCTTCAAATTTAGCTAATCCTAATTTCACTTTCATCCAAAATGAAGACTAAATTAATGAGTAAAAAGTTATTTTAGATAATAAAAGACATATTACAGTTAGCATAATTAAATTAATAACTAAATTTACTGATCTTAATTATTACAGACAGTATTAATTAAATTAATTTTCTATTATCATGTGCTTGCTGGCCTCTCACATATAAACCTAACCAACTTTAATTCTTTTGATTGAACTGTATAATTCAACTTTTTGAAATTCAAATATATAATTACATGTTTGGACAAAAACATAAATTACACATCTCACAATACATTAATGAAAAACATTCATTCAGTTTGTGTATAATTTAAACAAACATTGTTGGTTTAAAGATTAAAGACATTTTAATACATTTCTCACAATAACCGAAACGTCAACTGATTATATGTCAGGTAAGAAAGTACAATACATACTCCAATATTAGAATAAAAAGTATTACAGTGTACAGTATGGGTGTGGTCTATAACTACATAGCTGAAAAGATGATAATAATCTTCAGCTTCACCTCCGCCTACAATCTAAGAATCATGCTACAGAATTCTGATAGTCAGGTAGGAGAATTAGAGAGCCAGGTATCAAGTTTAATGCAAGAATTAGAAGAGGAACGAGAAAAGAACCGACAAAAGTCTCCACTTTTAGAATACATGGCATCGTGTTGGAATTTCATAATTAATTACGTCATCATAATTAATGTCTAAATTTTTAATCCCAACACGATGGCATGTATTTCAATACTTGGAGAACGTATTATACTTTCTTTTCCCACAATACTGAATGAATATAAAACAAATTTTTAATGGAAATGACCATAAACTTACTGTTTTGCCAGATTAACATGGACTTGTAATGTTTGACTCAACCACTTGTATGTTACCTGATTTAAAACACACAAAAAAACACTTAATGATGTCTACAATTTTGTGAAAAAAATATTAGTATTTAACTGTAACATCTAATAATAATTTCAAGAACCTGAAATATTATTTTATTGATTATATTTTATGAACTCCGACAAAACAAACAGAAACAACAGACAACTTTGTATTGGTGATCCATGAAGTGGCAGTAACTTACAATTTTCAATGAAAAATATATCTTAGGTACAGTACAGTAGGCCTAGTTAAGATTTAACAAAACAACCCACACTAAAACGACCAGGGCAAAATGATCTGGGCCGTATTCAACTGGCATGTAAAGACTCAGGGTGAAACAACTCGGGCATTAATGAACCGGCCTAGTCTGTACTGGCCAAGAACAGAATCCAAAGCAAAACAACCTAAACTGCAATGACCAGGGGCCACACTGTAAAGTTTTTAATTATGTGGATGATACCTCAAAAACTAGCTTAAACTTTCGCGGAAAATTTCCATGGAAATAGGTGCCCAGAATCGTAAATACTACATAATACATTAAGATCAGATCAAAGCCAATTTTTTGGCAAAATCTGCACAGAAATCAGCCCCTATTTTCAGAAATGTGCGGACGGATTTCTAGGCCAAATTTTTGCGAGGAGGATATATTCCCTGCGCAGGCCTTACTATCTGTTTATTCGGTAGCAGGTCAAAACGGCAAATAAAGCAAAATGGCAATGATCAAAACGGCAATAACCAAAATGGCAATGAACCAAAACGGCAATGAACCAAAACGGTAATGATAAGTACCAAAATGGTAACAGACCAAAACGGCAATGGCAAGTACCAAAACAGATAGCAAAGGAGCGAAATCAATGCCAAGACTAGCAAGAACCACTGGGCGCGGGCCACAGTTTATAATTTTCTGAATCGTATTGAAATTGTCCCGATAGGCAAATCAAATATTCCCATGGGCTCTTTTTCCTGCTTTGAATGTTTTAATATTTAATCGTGGTTTTTATTTTTTTTTTTTAACACATCTATGACATGACGAATTATTTAGATGCTTCATTTTATCTATGTTTTAAAGTGTTATTTATTATTATTATTATTCTTACATGTTTTTTACTTTTATGACATAAATTCTTTAGCCTCATTTTGTCTGTATTTGGAAGATTTATTATTTAAATGTTTATGCTTTTATATTGTGTTTCCCCCAATATTTTTACCATTGAATTTGTATGTTATATTATATTATATTATATTATTATTATTTTTGTTGTTGTTGTTGTTCTTTCGTGTTTTTTACTTCTATGACAACTTAGCCTCATTTTTACCGTATTAATCATGTACACTTTGTTTATAATTAGTTTTATGTAGGGCCACATAGAAAATATGTTTTAATTCTTAAAGAAAACTATCATAGACCATTTTGGTTTATTGCCGTTTTGACTTAGGCCTATTGCCGTTTTGGTCCATTGCTGTTCTGGTCAGAAAGTGTTGCTGTTTTGGGTTTTTGCCGTTTTGGTCATTGCCATTTTGACTTATTATTGCCGTTTTGACCAGAAAGCGTTTATACAATCTGGATCAGGGGCTGAATCAACTTTGGGCTATAAAAAAACATAAGGTAAGGCACAATGCCAAACTGTATAAAAGACCTGCACAGAAATCCATCTGTGCAACATTGTAAAATAAGTGCTAATTTCCATGCATAATTTTTTTCAGAAAAATTTCTCAATACTTTACAACGAAACAATAAATTTAAAAAGCGGTACTTTAATACGGTTCTGTGCATCTATCTTCCATGGGATTTTCTTAGCACATTTTGGAGTTCAACTAGCTAGGCCCAAAACCACTGTATACAGCCTGGCTACAGCAGCTAGGCTAGGCATATCACCTCCTCCACCCTACTATCTATATGTCTGTCCTAAAAAAACACTCCCTAGCCTAGGCTAGGCCTATGCTAGTTACGGCTAGCGTAGTAGTGCTAGGTGTAGTACTACATAGGCTACTAGAGTAGTACTACCACTAGGCCTAGTTCCTCCTAACATAGCTAGGCCTAGGCTCGTAGCTACCTACCTAGGAATAGCCTAGCTGGGCTAAGTCTGTCCAGTGAGTTGTTTCTGTCTGACTACTGTACTTGGCCTAAGCTAGGGTAGGCTTAGCCTAGACCCCTAGGGCCTAGGCCCTCTAGGAGGCCTAGCCTAAAATAAAGGCACACAAATAACTTAGGATACCATGAAATTAGCAAGAACGCTTCTTACGATCTGTAGGCCTAGAAATTAAAAGTTAGATGCGAAAGTTCATTAGCGCCGAGTAACTCACTATTCTGTTTTCATCGAAAACGAACTCTTCCAAATTTTCAAGATACATGTCACCCGCCATTCTGTTCAAAACAAATAATCCGCGAAACCAAGCAGTAGTGTTTTGCTGCAGTGACATCTCGGTGCTGGCGACTCGCTGCTGGCGATGACTCGCTGCTGGCGAATCGATCTGCGCATGTGTTTAAAATGGTATTTACTTCCGAAAACATGCCTGCTGCACGCGGTAGGTTTGTATTTTGTTTTTCAATGAATGAAATTCAACTTTTAAGATGTCTTTCTAGACCTAGTTACATTATCATTATAGAATATTGTATATTAACTCTAAAATATAACACAAAGTCAATTTTATATATGTCTAACATATGTAGGGCTACGGAACGATGTAGTGTACACTGTAGGCCGTATAGCCTAGGGCCTAGCCTAAGCTGGCTCGGGCTAGCAAAGGCCCTAACTCTACTATTATTCGGCTGGCATTGGCCTAGGCCTACTACTAGCCAACTAATGGGACAGTCCCACACACTTTTCTANNCAATGGGTCGACAAAAAATGGGTCCACATTTTTAAAAATGGGTCCAAATTTAATGCAGTTTCATGCATAAATGAGTCCTCATTTTGAAAAATGGGTCCAAATTTCTTATATTTAGCCTAAAATGGGTAAAATGTTATGAAAATGGGTCCAGATTTTTCATATTCTTCCGTAAAATGGTTTACTTTTAATAAAAGGGGTCTACATTATTTGAATTTACGAGAACAGTGGGTCCACCCTGATATTGTACCTGTTAATAGCATTTGTGGTATGTCCTGAACAGATTCTATGTTTCGTTCTTTATTAGAACATTGAATTGATAATAAATAATATCAGTATTTTCAAATAATAAGGACTCTATAAGAGATTGTTTAGAAGCAATTTCAGCAGTCATATGATGTCATGAAGTCCAAGTTAAAACCTTCACAACTCTCAGTGTGTTCATGTATGCTACTATTCGAGAAAGCTTAACAGCTCGAACCTTTAAACATCACCATTTTGGCCTTATTCATTCTGGACAATGTTCTAATAAAGAACGAAACGTAGAGTCAATTATGGCCTCAAGTCT